AGCGAGTATGAAGTTTTTTTTTCTCTCCAGCGAGTATTAATTTCCAAAATTATTGGCCATGTTCCAACCCGGGCAACGTGAGATTTGATACTCGACATCCTGACTGCGAGCTTGAAGATTCTGCTCGGGTGATGTTTCTAGGGCTTGTTTTCTGCGATGCTGAGCGAGCGGATTGTGTTGCTGAAAAATCCTGGAGTCGGTGTTATCCGGAATTGCGGCCAGTGACACCGAAAAGCGTGAGACTCCTTAGACGCCCGTTTTTCCCCTTACGGAACGAAATTTTTCAGGAATTATGGTGGACTTATAATCCCTTGAATTTTCCCAGAATGCAAGGCAGCCAACAACCAAGTCGTCAAAACCTCAGATAAGTGCTTTGTTTCATTTTCCTAGAACTTTGGAAATTGGAACTTTACCTTAAATTGACTAGGAACAGCTTAAATTAAGTCTACAGAAACTGAATTGCTTCCTTTTTTCCCTTCTTAATTGACCGAGGCAAAACTTTAAGGTCTTCATTGAATTAGTATGTAATAGTGTAATTGTTTGTATAATCTTCCTTAGAACAGATGTTAAATTCAGACGAATGTTTTTTTAACCTCTTAGAAATTACAGAACGAGTATCCGTTAAATTAAAAGGGTGTAATAGATTTGCAAATCATGAATTTAAATGTAACTGAAAAAAATGACAAAATTGAAGAATTCACCTGTGTCTAAAATAAGTAAATTGAAACTGTAACAAAAATAAGAAGTTTGACTCTCTGATTAGGATAAGATTAATTTTTAATGTGTGAGGAATTTGAATAAAACTGGTATTTAATCTGGAAACCTTTAATTTTATGTTTCTTTATATCCTTTATGTGTTTTTTCTTATATATATATATTGATTTTACATGTTAAATATTCGATTCTCTCACGGCGCGATCCCGGATGCATTTTCACAACACAATGCATTACCGTTTTACCTATACGATCACTAAAAGTGTGGTAATTAGCAAAATCTTAAGAATTTAGTTTCTCAGTTGATATTAAGTTAGTTACGGTTTCACCTGTCTGTCTCTGCATTAGTTTCCTCCCTCAGAGGAAGTTGTAACACAGCATTGGTGTCCATGATTTTTCGGCAAAGTATAGAAACAGAACATACGTTTCTCTTACTCAACACTGATGTCGTGACTACATAACACAGCCGCACGTCAAACCCATTGCTAATTTCCTTAATAAAAATGAAACAAGAAACGTGTGTCAAAGCCATACCCTGCGCTTATATTCCCATTAAATCTCCTGATGTACAATCCACGGATTTTCGCGCTTCTGACTTTTAAAAAGCGGATTATTCAGATGTCGAGCTACAACCCTCTTTGGACATTGGAAAGATGCTCAAGAGGAAAGGAACAGAATATCTCTTCCGCTACTAAGAAAGATTTATTGTTTTGGAAATTACGGTGTAGGAAGATAATAAAGAATAAAAGCTATTAAATGGAACATTTAAAACGGAAAATTTTTATGTAAAATATTTCTGTAAAGACAATGAAAGTAGTCTAAAAAATATGCAAACAGCCTTAATAAATTTCTAGCTTTAATAATCATAAAGGAAAAGGTCTTTAATAATAATGCTAATTCTGGAAATAAATCTAAATTACAAGTATTTAAAATATAATAATCTTGTATGTTTTAATGGTTTTAGCCTTTCTTAGCCCTTTGACAAAAATTAGCAAATTATTGATCAAACATAAATTTCAATTTTTCTTTGTTCTTTATCCGACTTCATTACTAATGGAAGTATTATCCTACATTCTTGCATCTGAATGGTAAAGTTCAAACTGTACAGAGTTAAAGTTAATTAAATATAATAAAATAAGCGAGCAGATATAAATTATATATTGTGGAGTGAATACAAGGTTAAAACTTTCATTAATAATGAACATAATACACAATTCATTATTGTTCAATTAACAGTACCAATTACTTAGTTTATGATTTTCTAAGCTAAGATTTTGCACATCTTAGATTTCTAGCAATGCAACCATGTTCACTGTCAGACTATATTGTTGTTCAAGTATTAAAATCTTCCATTCGAAGAGCAAAAAAATATGTTTTTAATAACAGCGCCGCAATGAATTCTAAGAAATTTTCCATTTAAAGCATTTATTTCGTGCAGTCAAGTTTCAAACCTCATAAATCCTTTTCATTTATGTTTTCAACAGATTTCGGCCAAATATTAAAAAAATATTAGTTAAGTAAATTAATGATTGTTTAATCTCTCCAATGTTATCTATCTCTAAAACGCAGAAGATGGTCTTGTATATCATACTTAACAGGAACTTCCTTCAAGTGGATTTCAAAATATCACAAATAAACTATCACGTGAAATCTAGTTCGATCACTCAGCGCATATGGCTAGATCAGTAACTCTGCTTTCTAGCATACCTAGCTGGTAATTTAGACAAATGCACTAAAATTTAATTACACTTAAAATACATTCAAAAATATTTATTTGGAAATATTTAAAGCGGGTAATTTTGTGAAAAAAAACACTAAAAATTTTTCCAATGTTCTACTCTATATTTTACACGGGAATAAATGAAATAAAGTTAATATAATAAATAAATGAAATAAATTTGGAATAAATTAAATTAAACGAAATAAAATGAACAAAATATATACAAGAGATTTTCAAATAAAATGAATGCAGTAAGTAGACACTCAGAAACGCTGTCTATGATCTACCAAGAAATACCATATGCTGCTTGTTAAACTGATCATCATTGCTGGGTGTGGAGTCTGGAATCAAGGATCTATCCTGTTCGGCATACGTATGCCATACATGTTCAATAAAATTCCGTAGAATACTAAGGTTATACAATGTAATTAATCGTGGTGTTCTCCAATAACGTTCAAGAGGTCGATAGAGGCATGTGTGGCTAATAGGATTCTGAGAGAGGAATGCATCTTCCGGCTATATCCAGGTATCGTAGCAGACAGCAGCCATTACCTTACCAGTTGTAATCATTCATGAAAATAGTTGATATAGGTTTGACGTAACTGCTCAAAGACATGGCTTTCCATGCCATAGAGGTGTTGTCACATGCGGAGTTTGCATTTCTATAATATCTGAGATATCATAGCGCATTCTCTATTCTAAATTATTTTTAGAAGTAATTGAAAATACGTACAAATTGGCCTAAACTTGTTTTCTGACACTTTTGTTTTTCAACTTTATTTTCAAATATCAGTTATTAAATATGGACGAAACGACTTTATTTTTCCCCTTATACTAATACTCACTGTTTCTTAAACATGCGCTTGTTTTGAAAAACGGTGTTTCAAATTGCTTTGGTAAAAAAGAGGAGTTTATTCAAAACGTTCTGAAACTGAACACACGTAAAGTATTCGGACACTTTAACCAACAGTTTATATATAGTAAAACGGGAAAATAACGCGACGTATGCTTTAACCAACATTACAATTTTCATTCGATTTGGAATGAATTTAACTAATATTTTCGTGTAAGAATGTTCCATTTTGTTCCCCGTCTTTATAATGATTATTTTTAGGGGAGCATTTGAAGAAATATCATTTTACTTATTCTTTTCACTAACTAATTTCATATATCTTCCATGGAATGAAGTCCGAGGTACATAGAGTAATTTGTGTAACTTCAGGACAATTATATAACAATCACAAGCTAATACTTGGAGCTGTGTGTTTAGATCGTTATCCTGGTAGAACTTAAAAGTATTTTGCAGATGCGCTTTCATTATTCGTGAATGAATTTTGCATTCCAAGTTTTCTTGTAGATACTTTTTCAAGTTTTCATCACAAATATTTATATATTCCGACTGATTTTCACTATTTTATATAAAAATTAAATTTGAGACTCAGAGGCAACGATGCAACCCCAAACGACCATGCGTTCACCCTCGTGGTTAAGTATAAGCAGTCGATTTTTCGGATTAAATTCTTCATTCCGCTTTCGTCACACAGAAATTCATCCACGAGCCGGAAATATACTAAATATTGAATCCTCTGAAAATATAATATTGTTTCAATATGCAAAATTTACCTTGGGTTTTTCCAAACACCAGAAATAATGTTTTTATTTACTCTTCAGTAAAAAAAAAAAAAAAAAAAAAAAAAAAAAAAAAAAAAAAGATTTCCTTCTTGCTGATCGCCCAAACTGTAGTTATATCCTCTCTAATGACTCTTCTGAGTTAATTTCACGGTTACCTTCATTGAAAACCACTCATATAAATCCGCTTCAAGTTTTATAGAATTAATGTTTGGATTTTGTTTGATTTTTCATAAGGTGAAAATTCAAATTCCGTATTCTTAGCTTGGAATGTTATCCATATGTCAGTGCAATTTGAACTGCTGCACGCAGTTTCCGTTATTAACAAGTCAAATATTGTTGAATGCTTTACATCAAGGATTTTCTGGATATTTTTATTATTTTGACCACCTATAAAATGATGAAAAGTTAAATTTGTAACAGAACGTGTCATTTTGTAACGTCTTGAACTGTTCACTTCAGATATAGAATTTAACATATTTCGCAGAAAAATTAATAATTTCTAAACGTAGGATATAATTCTTGTGATATAATTTAATTTAAAACAAAAAATTGCCTCTGCCCCCAATAATAAATCGCCAGCTCAAATAGAGAACAAAAATATTACTCGTAGAAGTAAATTTGGAATCTGTGTTTCAATACTGAGTATGAAGTCCATAAAATCAAGTAGACAAGTATCCGGAAAAAAATGTGAGCCGCTCTATGTGTTCACGCATAAATTACACTGATCTTCAATTCTGCACAGTATGGCTAAAATTCTCTATCAAATTTATTTTTTCGCATTTATAAGATAATAAAACTATATTACAAGCTCGAAATAAATCCTCTGCTCGCTTTTATAGAATATCTAAATAATAATTGCAGCTGCTTCCTATTTTCTTTAAAAAAAAGAAAAGTTCAGGCAGCGAAAGTATGATAAATAAACAAAAATGCTTACCTTCCCTGGCCCCCAGAACATTGACCCTCTATGGCAGATTCGAACCCATCCGGGTTCATTGAAGGCATGATATGAATACGTGTGGTATCTACTAACCATCTGACATAGTTGTCAGTATAGTAGTTGTTAATGAGGTAAGTGATTAAGTGGAGCATAAGTTCTCTGCCAACAGCCTGAAAAAATAAAAAGTGCATTTTAGGAAAGGTAGGAGATGTTTAAGGTCACACTTTATGGGAATATTTCAAGAAATGGATGACAATGAAAAAAGACCTGTAATATTAACAGTCTGCCTCTTTCACCGCATTTTCAAGCAAAATTAGCTCTTCATTTACTGGCAGTACATAAATATCATCGAAGAAATTTACACATATTTTCCTATAAAAATATCAATTCACGCAACTATCAACATAGTAAAGATTATCATGACATAGGAACAAATATTTAAGGAAAAGCTTCCCACACCGAATTCTTCATAAAGAGAAGAAGTTTTAATTTTAGCTTTTCGGATTAAAATAAAAACATATATGTATGTATATTCTAAGAATATCTTACCTTTCAGATTCTCCGAAGAGTAATATTGAAGAAATAAATAAATATATGATCAGTCTCTTAAAGTGATTTCAATTAACAATAAACTTCCTGATACTTCCTCTTAAGAATATGAATATGTAATTTTGAAAATAAAAGATGTAAGATCCTTTCAGACACTTTTGTTTCCTAAATATGTCTAAAATGGTTACATGTTTAGGAAATAAAAATGTTTAAAATGGTCTTAACTATATTTTTTATTTTCAAAATTACATATTCAAGTTATGTTTTGTTTCCTAAACATTAAATCCAAGTGTAATCAAATATTAACGTCCTCTCACTACTCATTTATTTGCTTGTTTTACGCCCAAGTACATATTTTGTTCAACCATATATGTATGTTTTGTAAAAGGTAAACTTTAATTTAACAGTATTTGTTTCTATTTTCCAAATTTAATACTTTTTATATTTGTATACACACCATATATTCATTCAAATTAAAATTCAGTAGGAAGATACACATCTATTGAAATTCAAAAACAGAGTGCAAACCACTGAAAGGGTTAACTAAGGTTCCTAAGATCAAAGGAGTTCTCTTGAAAATTCCTAATAAATTTAGTTTTAAAAAATATTTACAGTATTTTTAGGCATATAAATATTTCGACATTTTTTGTTCAATTACTGTAAATTACTTTAGTTGGACTCTATAAAATTAATCTAAATTTAGTTTAGAGAATCGTTTCTTACTAAAGAAGCAATATTAATAAAAAATGAAATCAAAATCTACTCCGACTCTAAAATACCTCCTTCTATATAAGAAAAGTAGCTAGTTCAACTCCACGCCAAGGTTTTCTCAGATGAACTCTAAAAGTGTTTTATGTCCTTAAAGAATAAGATAGTCTTGCAATGTCTTCATAAGCACACCACTGATTTTTCTACATTCCTCTTTAGGTGATAATTTTTACATTGAGCTATGATATATAACAATCAGATGGAAGTTGCTAAATACGCACTCCTTCTAAATACGCCTAAATCAAAAATCGCAGAAACTCTCAGCCCTGAGAAAAGCGACATAATATTGATAAAAACAATACTCACATTGTTATATCAGAAAATGATATATGTAAATTATGCTGGGTTTCTAAAATAAATGTATTCAAGTTTTAACTAAAAATATTTCGCTTTCGATCGGTCATATTTCTAAACCGGACGTTCCAGCTGATAATACAATCTAACTCTCTTAAAAGATGTAAAAAGAGCAGCAGAACGCACGGTAATTACATAATACGCACTAAATTCTGTAGGAAAAGCATTCGAAGTAACCAAAAGCAGATGTCAAACGATACACTATTGTGCTTTGGGAATATTATGAAATTTCATCAATAAGCAAAATTAAACAAACAGGAAGACTTAAAACCTTATTAAGGCAAGTAGTAGCTCTTACATGCAAAATAAATAGTTATAATTAGTCCATTGATGTATACAAAGATGAGGCGAAATTTATTTTCAGGTGTGAGAAATATCGCAGATCATCACACTCTCTTGCAGAGTACAGTCTAAAGTAGTGATCGTCAAGGAAGAAGCTCAATTAGTAGCACAACTATTAGCGAATTAACAGGTCTGAAATGACTTAGTGCTCTGAACTAATCCTATATTACAACATTGTCTTAATAGCCCAAAAAGGACGTTTGTCCCGTAGGGGATCTTAGTCTCGAAAAGGCACTTTACGCTGAATCGCTTATAAATGGCGTATCACCTTTTCACATTGTTGCCACCAAATATTATCGCCCTGTATTACATTTAAAGAAATAAAATAATGAAGAATCTGCATAAATGTATGCATGTTTCTCGTACTGATGAAAACAACTTTAGCCGGAGGCATAAAATTTTGAATAACGCACACTTCCAACCGAACATGGGCACTTGGAAGCCCGAATTCTGAATTTCGAATTTGTTTTATTATCTACTTCATATTTATAAAACTTTAATGAATTTTTATTAACAAATTCAACAATTTCAAATAAAGCAGTATCAAAACCATATGAAAAAAAAACATTTTTATCTCCAGCGCTTGAGAGTGTCTATCGGAAATCTTAAAAGATATACTCTTTTCAAATATTCCAAGATGTGCTGTTGTGATATAAGAGCCAAAAACGTGATATGTAATAAATAAAGTAAACACACAAAACGTTAATAATAAAAAGACAAAAAAAGCTTTGTAAAACCATCTTAGTAAGATAACGGAACATTCATATAATGACCTAAAGACTGAAAAAAAAAAAAAAAAAAAAAAAACAGATAAATTATGTCAACATAACCCTGCATCGGGAATTCTAAGCATATACTGCTATGGTGCTTTTAATTTTTTTTTGTAGTTTTTCAGTTGCATTATGTATGGCGTAAATGCGCAGAAAATGATGTTTAATTATAAAGCTAAAAAGACAAAAAATATGGGTTAGTAGGAGTGAGTAACAGCAGACTGCAGAGTGGTCGACTGCGAGCTCAGTGAGAGCGTACAAAAGTTTAACACTTTTGGGCGGCTGTTAAAATCTGAAACCTTTCAGATATTTTTATATAATTTTCCTCGAACGAAAGAGTAAGCACTTCCAAAACAAACCCTTCTAATAGCTTGAAAATTTAAGCGTGTTACCGATTTGGCAAGATATCGATCAATAAACGGTGAGCATTTTATAAAAAAAAAATGTTCTTCGGCCGCATAGAAAGCTTTCTGTTCAATTCTCTGGTTTTGATTCAGCGTTATCCTTTCAATTTGAATATCAGTCGGCTCAGAGGTAAACATTCGGAAAAACGGTATGCGAATTAAACACATAAAACACAGCAAATGGCTATAAATTAACGATTTAATGAAATACATAATATACGCGCATATCATCACCGTACGAAATGTACAACATAGAAACAACACACACTTCTGCAAAAATGAATAAGAACCAATTTATAAACAAATACGTATACGTACAAAGATATATAATGTGCAAAAATTATGGGTTTATTCTTCCTTTCCTGTGGTTACGCACCATTTAGATAAGCAACTCATTTTACTTTATATCAGAATAAGATTAAAGAAAGATAAAAATTCAAAATTTAATCACTTGATTTTAAAAGCGGTTTTAAATATATTTTGCTGTTTGTGATATCATAAAAATAACACTTTTTAATTTTGATACTTTTAATTTATTTCGAACAAAAATTGATAAAATATTCTGCAGACTTTACCTTAACATAACTCAGATTATCAGTTTCCTTTATTTACTGTAAATGAGAGTTTATTAAAAAGATTTAGTTGCAGTACGAAAGGAAAAATTAAGAAAATAATGTTGCAAGAGATAAGTATACACAATGATTATGCGCTATTTTGATATTATGCACTCCAAATATTTATGAATGTTTCCCCGTTCTCAGTTTTCTGACTGAAATAAAAGAAACAAACATCAAAATAATTATTCTCTAACGGTTAGGAAAATGGCTTTAAAATATTTTCTCGTTTTATCTATTGAGCATGCCATTGATACAATCTCTATTTTCTTTCTTGAAACTGATATTCGCAATTCAATTCCTTTCTCTGACATTTTAGTAACACGCCAATAAATTTAATTTTAGCACTGGTGTTCATATGAAAATTCTGTCTATTTGTTTCTTCATTGCTTTGATTATTTTTACTCTGATAATGCACGAAACTGTTATTTGGAGGTTAGCAATATTTTGAAAAATAATAACGTTTTTCTTTGTCAAGAAATATGAAATTGAAATACGTAACGAACTACATTCTGCAGTATTGCTGTTATTAAAATACTCCCCATTATACAGAACGCATTTTTATGTCTAAACGTAAAATGACGAACATCAAGAATACATTTCGGTGAAAATTCCTTTAATATTTTCATAAACACGCGCAGAAAAGCATCATAATTTAGTATTAAATATTGTATTGTTTTGTAATAAGATTAAACATTACTTGACTGCCATAACAAGTTTGAGAATTTAAGTTTCAGAAACCAATTTCATTTAATCATTTATAAAGGGTGCGTCAGAAAAATGTATACACACTTTGCACCGTCTCAGGAAATTTATTTCCCGACCTACAAGGTCAAATTTCTAAAAACGGTAAAGCTTCAGTCCAGTTTGAAAAAATAAGTATACTTTCTAGTCTAACTGAATGTTTCAAATGGTGTTTAAAATAAGTGTTAAAATTGTGGACTTCAGCATCAAAACGTTTCTGAATACGAGTCAGAAGTGATTTCTTACTTCACACTAAAATGTCTGATGGGATTTCTGCGCACACAGCCTGAATCTCATCCTAAAGAATTTCACGGTTACGTGGCTTACGACGGTACACCTCATCTCTTACTGCGCCCCCCAAAAAAAATCGAGCGGCGTAAAGTCTGGAAATCGTGCAGGAAACTCGATTGCTCCAATGCTCCTATTCATTAGCCTGGTATATTATCACTCATCACTAAAACTTAACCACTATTATGCTACCCTTGAAGATTTTTGCGAGGAACACTGAAACACTTCCAGCACTAGAACTGAGGATTCATGACATGAAGCTGCGAGAGGTCGCCCTAATCGGAATTTCTGCACATCACACATTGTTCTACGAACCTCGAAGTTTCCTCGAAGACATGTAATTTTTAACCATTAAAGATGAATCCCATATTCACATTTCCTCTTTCTCTGAACCGCAGCAATATTCTCAAACTTTCAGTACCACATAATAACCTGCTTCCACCCTTGAAAGCTCAAACACACATCTATATGTCTATGTTATTCTCTTGGCACTAACTAGGTTGCGCAACTAGATCGACGGCTCTGCCTGCCACAATTTGAGTAAACATTTACGTTTTCTTACAAATTTAACCTTGTAGGTAAGAAAAAAAATCTATCAGAGTTCGAAGTGAGCATAAACTTTTCTGACGCACCCTGTATTATTCAAAGTTATGACTATAGTAGAATTAAGATGTTAATAAAATTTTAAAAAATAAATTAGAAAAGTTCCATTATTTCCAAGGTATGCCCTTCCCTCTAAATAAAGTGTTGGGTTGCCCGGAATGTTCATGCCAATTTTGAAGGGAAACTGAAACGCAAGAGATTTAAATTTTATTACGTATTTATTAAATTATATATGTGTATGTGCCATTTTGTTCTATAACCGTTCTCTATCTTTCAGACAGCTTGAAAATTTCGTCCTTCCAGAATCGTTCTTTATGGGTCCGGTTTTCCAGCAAAAAAACGTTTATACCTGATTTTTTTTATCCCGACCAAAGAGTTAAAGTTTTTCCCATTAAAGGTATTTTGTAATGATCAAATAGGTGGAAATCAGAGGGCGCGAGGTTGGTGGATGAAGTAGAACATCGCAACCGAACTCCAACTTTTGTCGAGTAATCAAAGACACATGAGTCCCCGCATTGTTCTGATAAAACACGGCGGCCTTTCGATTCGCCGTTTCTGTTCGTTTTTGTTCAATTGCTGTCTTTAGTTCGTCTAATTGCGAGCAACACTTCTCTGAATTTATCGCTTCGCTTTACGCACAGCATGCCTTCTACGTGGAGCACGACCTTCTTCGGACGAAGACCGGCTTTTGGCATGGGTAAAGGTGGTTCATTCCGCTTTTTTTTCCCCAAGTTTCGCGTTTCATCCCCCGTCGTTACGTGCTCTTGAAAAATGATGTCTCCTTGCTTTATTTGTAGAGCGAATCGCAAATGGAAATGATGCTCATAAATTGTGGGTTTTGATATATTTAACATTTTTTGCTAATTTACGGGTCGTATAGCTTGGGTTATTCTCGATCAGTGTTTCAATCTGATCTCCATCTGCGATAGAGGGTCCACCTAGGCGAAATTGATCTTTAAGTTTGAAACCACCGGGCTTTCAACCTAGCAAACCACTTTCACACAGTTCTTTCAGCTACCTTCATCATAAACAGTATATATCTTTTTAATTTAGAAGTTAAACAAAATTTAGCTAAAATTTAGGTAAGCTCAACCAGCTTACCTAAATTTTAGCGTATATCTAGTTTGCCACTTAGGTGGCATTTTTGCTTTTCCGGTAAAATAAAAGTATTAGATGCCTAAAATGCACTTGGTTTTCTTCCATATTCAAAAGCATATAAAACTAATAAAAATTAGCATCGCTTGAAGTATCGTGTTTTCCACATACGCTTGAAGTACCGTCTTTTACGATATGTGCGCATGTCATTTGTTTTCAATCGTTCTGATATATTCAAGACCTGTCCTTGCGCCGCCAACCAAAACTCGGCACGAACTTTCCGAACAACACAATAAATAGCGAATTTGTTACCTACGCTAAAGACGCGGATAAACGCATTACATATGCCGAGCATGAAGAGAAACCAGCTTGTTTGTGGAAGTTTGTTTTAAAAACGATCGCAAATATAAAAGTATTGTTTTTGTCATTTTTGAAATTAACGTGATTCAAAAATAATACTGAAATCATAAAAATCTTTTGATTATATTATCTACCCATTTATTAATACTGAATTTTTAATTCGCGTAAGATAACCTATGTCTTCCCTCAGAAGGCATCTTTGCATGAATACATTCTACGAATATAAACGTAGCTGCTCAAAAATGGCAAGATGTCCTTAACACTAAGTCGCATTTGGATAATCAGGTTTTATTGACTAATGGTAATTTAACCATGCAAGATAATTCTCACCAATTATATTCAAATGCATTTTTAAGATAAGTACAGAAATTACAAAATGCGAACAGATTTGAATATATATGCATATTTGAACTGTAAAAAATACCCATATTTTTTCCTTTGCTACCAGAAGTAAACGGAAAATATAATTTGAAAAGTAATTTATGTATACTTACTTCATTGCCATGCATATTAGCTACGTATTTCACATTAGGCTTAAGAAGTGGTTCTTCGTTCGGGTAACGAGATACGACCATTACCCATAATTCCCTGCCTGTAAAAGATGAAGCAAAATAAATATTAATTACTATCAATTTGCTAGTGAAATAAAAAATATTAAACACAATAAAAGAGAAAAACAATAAAAAAAAACCTATTTTCCTATTAGGAGCGATTTTAATGCCACAGTTTAAGGGCAGAGGCAATTAAGCACGCTAGTTACGATTATTTATTATTTAGATGATTGCTGTTGATTTTTAATGGATGCATTTATAGTTCAAATTTCTACACTTAATGCGCTTAATAGTCCGAAAGTCAGTAAAAGTTATTTTTTTTTTTATTTTAATGCGTGCATTGCTGTCATTATTAAAATTTTCTAGAGCATTTACTTTGTGAAATTTCCTACGCATTTTAGATTTCCATTTCAATTCTTCCCCCGCCCCTTCCTGCCAGTCTCAACATGTAAAAAAATTATGTAAATACTGCATTTCAATAACTACACTTTGCCTTATTTCGAAGCTATCGTTTGCTTCCCCCTCCTGTATTTGAGTTTATTCAATATTTAACTTTAGTTGATAAAAAACATAAATTTAAAAAAATCAAAAACCTAAACTACAAAAATAAAAAAAATAAAAACATTTATGGATTTTAGGGAAAGAAGCTATAGACAGGAATAAAATAACTTTTTCTCTTTATAACGCAAAACCTAAAAATCAATACATTTTCTCTGTACGCTATAGAATCGCTATAGAATATATATCTTTGTACGCTGAAATTTTTTTTATTGTATTTCCCTTTTTTTTCTGCAACAAAAATTAACAGATCCTATTTATTATAATATAAACTTATTGATATTATTTTTTGTGATACTTAGGGACGGAACAGATGCTCTCGTAAATTAAAAAAATATATAAAAGAAATATAAATATTACTAAAACTTATTTTCTCCTGAACAGGTTTTGAATATATTCCTTTTTGTATTTACAGTGTAAAACATTAATTGATTACACACAGAATTTTTCCAAACGTTTACATAAATATTTCTTGAATGACTGAGCATAGATCCACTCTTATAATTTTATGAAATAATGAAAGCAAGCCTCTAAACTAAGATTTGTTTAGCAATGTGATGCTTTTTATTAAAAATTATTGAAGAAAATTATTAAAATCTTTTATACGGCTACGTAAAAAAAGGCAATGCGAAACATCGCTTCCTACAAAATCATCATTAGAATAAAAAGAAAAAAATCAGTTGTCAGTGGGTCAATATGACTCAGGATACATTAACAAAATCTTCTGGCTTTCTTAGATAAACACTGCCATAGATAGGCTGTGGATACTTTTGTATGCGAATTTCTAAAAGATACCATTTAGATTAGAAGACCCTTAATTCAATAGTAATGATTTCAAACTACTAGTTGTAAAAAACATAAAATACAGAAATTTTATATTAAATAAAATTTGCTTTGTTGAGATTACCAAACAGGAATTTAGTTTTTTTAGGCGTTTAATTTTCGAATTTATTTTACCGATTTAACTGCTACCGGTTTCCCGATTTTAACTTCCTTGTACAAAGTAAAGGAATCATTGTACTCGCGAAACAGTTCGGGTGTCATATTTCAACGAAAATATCTATTTTGTCCGCACTTGAATGCATTTGAACGACGTTTTTGGGAGAAATCTGTACGTACGGACAGAATAAAGGAGGTTTTTTTTTAAACGGATTGTAAAATGGATTCAGAAGAGATATTTTCGTGACAATTGTATGTATCTCTGTATGTCGAATATGTATGTATCTGACATAACTCAAAAACGAGTAGCTTCATAACGTGGAAATTCCCTTTTTGGTTGCAATCGGCCGCACCAAAAGTACATAAATACGTACTATATATACATATACACCTACAAATGTTACCGTCACGGTCAGCTCAGTTTTTTTTATTCTCATTATGCTTATAAACTGCGAGTTTGTTGCTTTAACAGTGATTGATTTAAGCTGTTCTTATGTTCGGGTTCCGCCTTTAATTAATCTGTGTGCAATAGTTGTAGAATAATGGATAATTTAAAAGTTTAGGTGGTGCAGCTAACCCTAAGTCATCCGCCATTTGTTTACGTTTGAAGGGTTTAGTAGAATAGTGAATTAAGTCAGTTTCTGCGAGCTTTCATGCATTTTTTGCTTTGTACCGAAGTAAGAACTGAATTAACTGATTGAGAAATTTATCTCTAATGAAATTCGAGAAAATATGATTAAATGAAATGCAGAAAAAAGAAATTCATATATGGTGTCCACATCAGGTTTTTAATATTAAGAAAGGGACAAAATTAGCAACTCTTAATATATTAATATATCAAAAAATAACTAATTATCAAAAATAATTAAATGACATACGGAAGAAAGGTCACATTTGTGACTGATATTTTAACGTATTACGCATCAAAGCAGCTTTACTTAAAAGATACTGTATTTCATTTTACTCTAGAACAGATTTTTCAATAAAATGCTTTTTCAGTTTTCCCTAAAATAATTTTCTTTTAAGTAAGTTATTTTTCTATATATCTTTTTGGCTCTTAATAAGAATACACTTTTTTTTTGTTCTAAAACGAAAGTTCACAAGATTTTTTCTCACTTTTGTTTTCAAAAACGTTTCAAGTTTTGAATATATTACATTTGAAAGCAAATTGGCAATACTAAACATCACTACACGTTTACAGAATTCTTCAAGAACAATGGATAAATAAATTCGCGTATATGAATAATGCTGCTCAGTATACATTGGAATTTTCTGTACTATAATATTTAATAAATTTATTTTACTATTAGAGTTTAGGAAATAAGAAAGAAGGTTATTTTAAAATCGCATGAATCATTCTTTTCGAAGTAACTGATAAAATACCCTGCAGGTGTATCAGTGTTTAATGCATTTACAGGTATTAGTGACAAATAAATGTTGAAAAATAAATTAAATATATATATGTATGTATGTATGTATGTATGTATATGTGTGTGTGTATGCATAAAATCTCAAATGAACTACCATACGAAAAAATAACATGAAATTAATTAATTTTGTTTAGTTAGATTATTTAATACACATTCGATCAACTATAGGTAGATAAACTATACTACGTTAATTTTGAATATTAAATTACTCATCTGTCATTATTTGAAATGTTAAAATCATTATAATTAATTAGGTTACTATAATTAATTGCTTTTATATTTAGTTGATTTATAATTTAAATATAAGTTATTTTTTTCTACTCAAAACAAACTGAATATTATAACACGAGTTTCTTAAAGATAAACTTATAACTTAACATCCCAGAAATATATTAGAAAAAGATGGATGCGAAAGATTGTTATCATAACATATCTGCCATATGTAGATCCTGAATGTGATGTTCCTCGTTTCGTGTTCCGTTATAAGTTCCACTTCAAAGAAACCAAATCCAAATGAAGGCATAAAGCGTTTTCTCACATCAATAAATATTTTCTTTAGAAGTACTTTCCCTAAATATGAAATCGATGTAGAATTAGCAAATACTTTTTAAATAGAATCATTATAGAATTAAGGAATAAAAATAAGATTTACGAGAACACAATTGACAGCAGATTTATATTTCTTCATACTATTTTACCTCATTATCAAGGAAAAAATAACCCTCAAACTGATTAAATAGCATTGACCATAGCCCGTAGAGAGAAAATGCGCAGTTCTCCGCAACGATTTTTTCCCTTAACATAAACCAGAAATCTAAATCAGCGAATCTTCTAGCTACCAATTCTTTGATCTGAAGAGAACACAAGCCAACACAAAATTTAAAGAAATAAATCCAATTTTATCCTCATGCATATAAATTGTGTTTTAAAACATGTCTTCCTTTAGACCAATTCAAATGTGGTAAGATAAAGTAATCCCTTGTTTTATTCATGTTTTTCGAAAAACCGAGTAAGGCGACTATACGGCCTAGTTAAGCTGCTGAACTTGGCAGAAAGTAAAAAAAAATAAAATTTTGTTTAATTCTGAAAGAAATGTAGCATACTTTTCTCTGGTGACTTTATTTAATTTTTTATGAGACAGACATAAAATCTGATGATATATACCACTTCAAAAACAAACATTTTTATTCTTTTTTTAATGCGAAACAAAAATTAAATTACTTTTTATGTATTTATTAAATTACGTACAAGCGCTAAACTTCAGTGACATATTTACGTTGTAAAATTAAAAATGAAATGAAAGTAAGGGGCTTAATGTAATAACTTGATACAATTTTGAAACTAGAACAAAAGCAGAAGATAGTGGATTCATAGTATGGCTGACATATCTTACAAAAAAATTACATTAAATTTTTGAAATTTCGAAAGAATATAAAATAACTTTATATTATTGTCAAATGTTATTTTTCCTTCACATCTGGTGAATTACGAGGACAATCCAAAAAAAAAAAAAAAAAAAAAAAAAAAAAAAAAAAAAAGTCTATATTTTTAGATATACAAAGAACCGTTTATTTTCTATAATTGCTACATCACTTTAAAGATTGAAGAATGCTTTATTTTTCAACATAATCGCCATTTCGGTCGATGCATTTTTGTAGACGCTGTGGCAGTTTTACAATTCCCATGTCATACCAGCTTGCCGCCATGCCCTTCAGAAAGTGTTGAGGAGCTTCAGGAGCATCCAGATGATCCTCCGATCTTTACGCATTTTACGAACGCAACAATCGCGAAACTCAATGAATACGAACTCAACAATCGCGAAAGTTGAGGATCTCGTCGGCAATTGACGGCCTCCCGCTCCTTTCTTCGTCATGAATTTCAGTACGACCGGCTGTAAACTCTCTACACCACTTGCGAACGCTTTTGACATCCATGCACGACTGTCCATACACTTCCGTCAATAGGCGGTGAATTTCAACCGGTTTAACGCCTTTTGCGTTCAAAATCTAATAACTGCGCGCACTTAGCCCTTGGCGGTAACGTTTATCGGGAGCTCCATTTCGAATGGCTGCCAAGCCAAGACAGCATCCGAACGAAGCGCCTTCGTGCTTATG